TACTTTATATATATATATTTATAAAAAAATGTTATGTTTATTTAAGGCCCAATACGTTCATTACGAAGGAAATAATCTGCAACAGGAAGGAGACGAATATACGGTTTAAACGCTTGTACCTCTTTTGCTCCCTGTCGTAAGCACCGCGAGTATAGAATCTATTCAGTCAATGACGAGTCGTGGTTTCTTGTCGGTTTGTTTATTTCTTCTTCTTATTTTTTTCTTCGTATTTTCCTTCCGCCAGGCGTCGCACGCGGACGCGACCTCTGCCCCACTTCCGTCGTGGAGGACCGGAACGGAAGTAGATGAGCCGCTGGTATGGTCAGACCTGATCTTCGGCCGCCATCTTGTACAATACTCCCAAGGGAGACGCCATTTACCGATATCGGTCACGATTTTCGTATTTTCGTAATTTCGTCCACAGAACATAAATAACAATCTTATATAATTTATTCATTAATCAATTTTTCTATTCAAACGAGAATTTTCATCTAACAAGTATGAACGGTTCCCATGTTATCGATTTAACTCTCATCCAAATTGTAAGGCCCATCTAACTTTCGAGTAAAAAATGATTCTTTGTGCTGTTAGAATCATTTAATGGTTTTAAATGAGGTGAAATATTAATAGTTACATGAAATTGTTCGACAGAACATCTTGAACAAACGATTCGACAGGTGTTTTGTACGGAATAACAAGTCTCTACGCTAAAATGACAAGCCATTCCCTCGGACCTACTACTAAACGTAACATTACGAATTCAGATAAGAGTTAATCAGTTCGAACCTTATACTTATGTAAGTTACAAAGGCGCTTAATTTTCACGAATTGTTTCACGTTCACATTAGAGAGCCAATTTTCTTTCGTGATCATCCACTTCCGTTCCGATCTCCTAGGCACGCCCGTGTCCCTGTACAATTCTTCTTTCACGCTTCTAAACCTACAATCCTGCAGTGTTCTTTTTTTCGCACGCACCACACGTTCGCATCCCCGACGCTTCCCAGGAAGGATCGTTTCGTCGACCAGAAACAAGTAACTTTCGGCGCACGGAAAAGCATGTAACTCGACGCGTCCTCGGGATCGACTTGGCGGGAACCGATCGCGAGACGCCTACCGGGTTTCGCGTGAAACAAATAAACCCTCCTAACGATTCGTATTAATTACTCTATACAATATGTACAAGTATTTACTTTGCGTCGAACGCGATTTATCGAGCGGCACGGTCGATTTTTCGTAGGCGACGTGCTCGCTCTAGAGACAATAAAACGGTCACGAAAATTAAAATTCTGGAATGAGCTCGATCGAGATTTTAGAGTAATTGGATTACACTCGAACGATCTTTTCGCGCGGTTTTTTTCCTCTTTTCGACAGACTTCATCCATATAGGTTAGAAAGCAAAATCACGGTGTAACGATTAAGTCGCTTATAATACTTTATTGTGCGTTACAAAAGATCGTCCGTACGCGGACATTCGTTTCGAAAAGTACTATAATTCGATTTCTATATTATCCGCTTTTTTTTCCTCGTTCGTCCGTCGTCGTCTATTCTTTTACAGAATAATAAATTCGATTCAACGATTAGGAGATAACGGGTATCGGTCTAATATCTCCGTGGAAAAAGTGTTAAGCTTGAAAATAAGTTAGCGTCTCGCGTGATACGCTCGACAATAGAGAACCCAGATACACAACCGAACACGCGCCAAAAACCCGGTAGACTGTTCTCCGCGGCAAAACGTTCTCGCATGATTTTTCCACTCAGAAACTCCCAAGGTAACTTTCACTTAACGAGTACGACTAATAAACATTGCGGTTTGAACGAAGGGGATTGGAAGAGGGGGGGGGGTGGGATGACAAGAAACGAGAAGAAGAAACTTAACCACGAATTATCCTATCGCATTTTGTACACGTGAAAGAGAGAAACAAAATTAACGAAAGCCTTTCTTTTAAAAAAAAAAAACAAACGAAAAAGAAGAAAAGGAAAATGGAGGGAGAAAATAAAATAGATAATAATAATCGTAATAATAATAAGGATAATAATAATTATTATAGTAATATTAATTAATTAATAATATTAATGGTTATCGTAATAGTACTAGTAACGCAGTTTCTGACCGAAAAAAAAAAGTAAAATGATAAATAACAAGTTACGTGCTTTTCGAAATACGAACAGTACGGATAAAAGAATAGAAATAGACGATGAATCCTTAACAACGATCGCAGGCTAATTGCAAGGGAAAAAATGGTAGAGAAGAACAGAATAAAAGAAGAACAGTTACTTGTTTCCCGCTCGATTACAGGCGGCTATTATCTCTGTTTCACGAGAGCCGGGTCCGCTTGCATTGTTCAAACTTAAGATCCGACAAAACACATCGTGCCCACCGCGGCGCGAAGATCGCAGAGTATCCCCCTCTTCCCTTACCCCGGACAGCCGTGTAGAATCGGGTTGCGCAGGTCTTACAGATAAGATTAAGATTTTGTTTCGTTATCTCTCGGTTACGCAACAGCTTCCTCTCCTCATCGTCATACAATTTTCGTAAATATATAGACGACGATGACACACCCACAAAACGAATATGTACAAATATACCGCCTGATGACCTACGAAACGACAACAACCATCCTTAAGCATCTCCGAGACCGTGATTCCTCTCTCTCGTGCACGCCGGTCGGCTACGATTGTCCCCGTGGATCTTAATTCTCCCGCGCGAGTCGAAGGGCTCGAAGTGTAAGATCGTGCAAGCGACGAGCGAACCAAACAAACGTACAGAGAGTAAGAATTCCAACAAATCGCAAGAAACAACAACGCGCTTGTCTCGTCCTAAAAAACAACGCCCCCCCCCCCGCCAAAGTTTTGTACTTTAGAAACCCATCGACAATTTCGAGAATCTATAAAATTCCAAATCGCTATTATTAAATATGTAGTAACAACAAGAGAAAAAAAAATTAATAAAGAACAAAACGTGCGGTATCGCTTAAATAACACACAGGTGGTCTCCTGTACGGTACACGCGCGGAACGATAACTTTGTCACGTTCGTTTAAAGCTACAGAGAAGTACACAGCGGTCGCCAAATGAAAATAGTACGAACATATCAGAAGGACTCTGGGTGTCCTGTAGCGTGCCCTGATCTATTGGGCAGCAAATGGGGGCAATCTCGTTGCACGCAACCACTAAACGTTCTCCGCAACCCTTCGACCTTCGATCGGCCCCCAAAAACAATACGCCCAAGCGCGCGAACACACGCGCACTCGCTCGATCACTCGCGCGCGCGCGCGCGAGCGCGCGCACACACACACACACACACACACACACACACACACACACACACACACACACACACACACACACACACACACACACACACACACACACACACACACACACACACACACACACACACACACACACACACACACACACACACACACACACACACACACACACACACACACACACACACACACACACACACACACACATACACACAGACATATACACTTCCCAGGGCAGCGTCGAGATGCGACTCTTGTTGTTGCGTCGTCGTCGACGCGCACAGACACACGTGCCGCCCTTCTCCGTCGTTTCCTTTCCGGACGGTGGAACTCACCTTGACAGAGCAAGGCCCGGGCGCTACTCGCGTACCGCTTTGTTCGTCAGCGTCGGGACGCCCTGCGCCGCGTCGATCGTTCAGCTGTCGACGCTGAAAAGCTCTTTGTGTAGGGCCGGGAAGTCGAGGTGCGGCTGGGAACGTTTCAGTTTCGCCAATGCGTCCATGTGGAGCAATGAGATCTCCCGGAGCTGGGGGATCTTCGCGAGGATCGCGTCGCACACCGTCACGTCGCCCTTGATCGGCGACACGTGGTTACGATCCAACTCCGACCTGAGCGCCCTGATCACCGCCTGCGACAGTCTCGTCACTTCCGCTAGCCCTTTCAGTCCTGGCCGATCTGAAAGTCAATGTTCACGATTGGTTGGGTGGTCTTTGTGCCTTTTAGCTTCGTCTGTTATTGAACCTCCGTCGGGTGTAATTGACCTTGCAGGTATAGAGACGTGGCAACAGGTATAGCTGCTTCAAAGATATAGCGTTAGCCATAAACGTGGCCGACCCTTAAGCCATTAGTACTCGATCATCGGGGGGCCTATTGTGTCCCATCGCACTCAGTGTCGTAGGCCACTTTCAGCTATGGGGTACCAAGGAATGAAACAAAAAAGACTGGAATATTTGAAAGAAATGTAAAGGGCCAGAAGTAGTTTAAATCTGAAATTAGCACGCTATAAGAATTTGTTTAATTACATTAAAACGGAAAATCCGATCTCAAATTGACGTTGCACGCCCCTGAACGATGGTCGAGCACAGTTTTTATAACTCAAGGGTATCGAGTGACAGGATTAGGCTACCGAAGCATATAAACTTTAGGGTCGGTCAGGTTTATGGCTAACGCTATATCTTTGAAGCAGCTGTAATAATTACCAGACGAATTACTAAGTGTTTTCAGTACAGGGTGATTCTCTCGCTGCTAGGGTTGAAATGCAAGTCACCTGTTTTTTCGTTTAGGTACCGTGACCTTAAAGGTGTCATCGGTAGCTTACCCTTGCTGAGCAGAGACACTCGCTTGTCTCTGTCACGCGTATAGGCTGCTCAGCAGGGGCAGGTAGTGGCTTCTAAACGATAAAGCAGGCGACTTGCCTTACCACCCTAGCAGTGAGAGAATCACCTTGTATTTTTAAACACTTTAAGATGTTTCAGATTTACTGAAGTTTATTTCTCTATTATTTATGCTAATTATTAAATAAAAATTCTCTAGTCCGTGGATATTCGTTTCATCTTTCACTTTTCGTCTAATATTTTCCTTTTCTTTTTAGTATTCGTCGTTAAGTGAATTGAATAATTCTAATTGCATCCCTTTTATGCCTGTCGAATTAATTTCATCCCGATTATCGTTAGCAGCAATCGACTATGAAAGAGAAGAATTCTTTTAACTGCGAGGACCGAAACAGTTCAAGCGGTCATAATTGTATTCATTTTGTGCAACGTAATAGGACGATCTCTTCTTTCCCTCTATCAAAGTACTCCATCTTGCTTTATATTGACTCTTAAAAACACGCCTATAACGACTGGCAACCTTTACATATTTATATGGGTTGATTTACAAGGGTAATCAATGCTGCCCTATCCATACTATCTGTAGTTCCGTTTAAAAATTTCAAATCACATTTGAAGAGAAGTAAACTTTGGAATTTGAATAAAAATTTATAAAAATTGAAGAATACTTTATACACTTCAAATTAATACACCGGGTGTCACGTAGCTGGTGGTATAACCGGATCGAGGGTAATTTGCGTGAAGAAATAAGTCGAAAAGATAACATAAAATTTTTTCATTTGAGAATCCATTTTTAAGAAAATCGACTTTCAAAATTAATCTGAAAGGCGTGTATTGGTCATGGTAATAAGTAGGAACGGAATGCAATAAACAGACGCGCTAGCCAAGTCCTATTTAATTGCCCGTATATTCAGCAGATCTTCAGAGTCGATTTTCTCGAAAATAAAGTCTCAAACGAAAAAATTTTATTGCATATTATTCAACTTATTTTTACACGTTGAATCACCCCCTATCCGGTTGAACCACCAATTACATGACACCCTATATACACCAAAGAAATAAATTATAATTATATTTATTATATTATTTCTATAGATATCGTGTAATCTCGTTTCTTAATTTTTTTTCCTGACACATTCTGCTCGAAGTTATACTAACCAGGACTGTAGAGAACCGCTGCGCTGTAAAGCGCGAGCTCCGTTTCCGTAAGCTTCAATTCGGCAATACTCCTGGCCATTTCGAACACGCAAGAAACCAGCTTCATTTCCGCCGTGTCCGTCGTGTAAAATGCGTCCTGCGGCAACATTGTGTCACCATAGAGGACACAGTTCTGCTGGAGATCAAGGTACCTGCTCATACGTAGCACAGCCAACTCGAAGGAACCTGTAAACATAAACGATTGTGTTTAATTGCACTGAAATAAATTAATTTTGAAAGAACTTAATTTAAAATGGTTTTTAATTCTCATTGATAATGAGTTTTAAATGATTTCTAAATCATTCGAATCCTAAATGATTTCTAATACTCATCGACTTAAGTAGATATCAGTTGTGAAGTTTCATTTTCATTATCTTACTAGAAAAATAGTACTAAACCATAATTAAATGTAGTCAACTCGCTCTTAAATGGTCTAACTACTCAAAACCCTACATTCCGAACGGAGACACAGATAAAATTAGAATTCCGTATTGAAGAACAACTTCGTCTTTATTTGGAACAGTATTCAGTCCCCCGTGTATAGACACAATTAAAATCAACGTCTGCATAACACATGTTTACGAAAGTTGCGCCGTTATCATCAACACTTCGTCAGTTTACTCAAACCTAGCACCTCTTACTTCACTGATAACACAATTTGTCGTTTCTGTTTACAAGAAACGATATTCCATCTGAAGATGAATTATTGTCCGATAGAAAGGGACTTACGAAATATTTAAAAGGAACTTTATACTAAAGTAATAGGAAAGGGAACACTCACTATTCAGGTATATTAATTTCACGTAATATAGAATGTCAGTACGAGATAAATGATTAAAAAAGTAAAATCTCAGAATATCCACAAACTCATATTACTCACCAGCCTTTAATAGAACAATCTGGTCGTCCTGCGAGAGCTTCATGAATCCAGGAACCATCTTGGCGAACTCGATGATCTGCTGGATAACGGCGGTTAGTTTTTGGGCGCACTCGAGCCACAGCTGCTCGTGCGCCATGTTCTTGTAGTAGATCAATCTAGAGAGGTCGTGCGGCTTCCGGAAGGATTCCTGGATCTCTTCCGTCGTCATCAGACACGTTCTTGCGTGGGCGTCCGCTATTGTTTTCGAGAGCAGCTCGCTGATCTGTGCGGGATCTACGAAAACGAGAAAGAACATACGGTTGAAATGTGATCATTTGATAATGTTTTATCGAATAAAACATTTTTTTAAAAACCACACAAATCTAATTTCTCTACATTCCAAAAAATAGCGACATACTAACATCAACGAATATATCACAGAACAATAGACAACTGTTTGACATTTAGTAAAATGATTGTTTAGTAGACACTGTAACAACATGAAAGCGAGACAGATCGTTGGACGACACAAGACTGCGACTGGTGAATTGTTTTAATATCGAATACACCCGATTTCTTTCTTTTCTGACACACAGAATGCGAGAGCACGTTTTCTTAAGATTTCGTGGGCCAAACTGAGCCACGAGGATCTATCGGCTGGTGCGTTGTATAAATCTCTATAATTGCCGCAATTTCAAACTACGTTATAGCTAGAATTAGTACAGCCGTTTGAATCCGGTTTTCGAGTCAACGAAGTTTGTACGACCCTGCACCGTCAGAAATTCAGTCCCTTTGATTCGTTCCTGCTTGCGCGGACTCAGTCAGTGATGTTTCAACTTGGCTGGCATTAATTAAATTCGTTTCGCTCTTAAACTATGCTACGTCACTTACACCATTAACGAAGTAGAAACTTCCGTTTGATAGAATTAAGAAATATTTAAACACGTGGTCACAATTATAATGACTGAAACATTACATGAAAGAATATAGAAACTAAATAAAAGTACAGACGTACAGCTTCTAGAATTTAGACATTATAGTATGCAAGTGAACGAGAACACGTTCACTTCACCGTACAAAGTGTACAGACCAGCGTGAAATGATTTCCAGTCGAGGAAAATCAATTTCCTTTCGAATCAAAGAGCATCCCCACCGTTCCCGGTACATAGGTCGAGTTACGCGACTGGGACAAGTCGCATCTCTTACTCGACTGTGTAACCGGAGACCAGAAGGGAGCCAGCCGGAGGAATAGAAAAAAAAATACCAGAGGAGAAAGTTCAACGAGAAAAATAGATCACGTTGCGCCGTCCCGTTCAACTTTTTCTTTTCTAATTTTCAAACTTTTCTCCCCTGATCGTCCTCGACGTTCATCAACAGAAAACGTGCTCTCCCCCCGAAACTCGACAAGAAAATAGTAACGGAAAAAAAAAACAGAGAGAGAGAACGGAGCCAACGGTCGTCAACAATAGCGAGAGCTCGAGACACACGGCGCAGGAAGAGTACAGAAAAAAAAACAAAAAAGGAAGAAAGAAAGAAGGGACAACTACGGACAGAGAAAAGCGTGCTGCATGCCCATGCAAAGGGACACAAACGTAACCTCACATCTCGCATGGGACATACTGGGCAGACTCGGCACTTCGTCGTCCTCGGATGGATTGCTGACCCTCTGTTGCTGACCGCTCAGAAAGGTCGTCGAGTCGACCATCGTGTACGAGCCGTGGCCCAGGTTGGCGAGCTCGACGGTGGTCTCTTGCTTCACAGCAACGATTCCACCACCGCTCAGGGAACCGGCACCACCGCCGCCACCGCCTCCTCCACCGCCGCCGCCACCCCCGCCGCTCGCGGCCGCACCGCCACCGGTGCCAGAACCGCTCCCTCCGCCTCCCGTGCCGCCGCCACCGGTTCCACCACCGTTACCACCGCCACCGCTACTACCTCCACCACTACCCCCCGTGCTGCTTCCGGTCGTCGAGGCAGACAGCGACTTTCCTGGTATACGCGGAAAAGTCAAAGTTCACTCGGTCCGACCGCTTCCTATCCGCTGTTTTCTTTTTTTTTTCTTTCACCTGTCCTCGTTCGACGAGCGTGTACGGTTTCGCGGCAGCAATTTTGCGTTTTCGTGACACGAGAACTGACAGGAAGAGAGACATAACACTTGGGGCCCTAACTTTCGGTTGGTGGTTTTAATGAAACTTTTGGGACGTGTAGTAGGCTTCTTCTTCGTTATAAATCACCACCGTATGGAGATAAGCCATGCGAACGTTTTGGAAGTATTTACTTTTTACCAATGTCTTATGGTTTTTACTGTGACTGTCAGGGTTCAAAGACGTCTTTTCTAAAGATTTTTGGACGTATTTGAGACGTATTTAGGACGTATTTGAGATGTATTTAGGACGTATTTGGCACGTATTTGAACTAACAACATTACGGTAGAAACCGTGAACGTTACCCCGACGTTACATCACCTGCGAATAATCGGGCGACATCACGCAGAAAACTTCAAGAGCGAATAGCTCGGAAAGTTTCGAGCATCTGTCCCTAGATTGGAGTGATTTATAAAGAGAAAGAAGGCTATTACATGTCTTAAAAGTTCTATTGAAATCGACGATCCGAAGTTGGGATCATCTCCTTGTGAGTTCTAAGATAAAACGGGATTGGTTGTGGTTGGAAGGAGGGTTGGACTGTATGGGGATTTGGGCGGAAGTAAAACAAGCTGGTTCTTGAAGCGATTATTTTAGTCAGTTTGAGTTGCAGAGGATTAGGTCACTTGTGATATCATTGGGTTAGAGTGTTTTGTAGGTATTGTTGGATATTTATTAACTCTCGGAAGACACATGTTTTGGGACTGACGCGACAGACGGATACAGGGATATCTTGACCCATAACTAAAGCTTCATTATATGCGGATTTGAAGAATGAATTGCGTACAAAATAATAAATATATTTTCATGTGTATACATTGTATTTAGGTATAGTTAAGTATATTCAAACATAAAGAAGGAATATGATGATTTCTGTAGTTGGGTAAAAATAACCCTGAATCCGCCCTACCTTGGTTAGCATTCAAAGATTTGGAATTTTTATATTAATTATTGCAGTTCCTCAGGAGTATCTGAATCCTGAGGAGCATATATATTTTTTATGTGACACTAAATGATATGTTTGATACAGTGTGGCTAGAAATCTTTCAGCCGGTAGCGTAGATCGACATCACAGAATTTAAGGATATTTATTCATAACAAACGGAGGTCTCTATGAACTTTTTAAGGAATTTTACCATCGTAATCAACAATTTGTTTTCGATTGAAAGGTTTAGCAAGGAACCTATTACAATTTTTGTTCAATATTTACGTAGTGTCCTTTGTCCGAGGAATCGTTTATCACAACACCAGCACGCTTCTCAAACGGCAATTCAATCGTATCTTTATGACTGCTAATGTTACTTCAAGCAACAGTATCAATATCATTCACCGAATGCACAGTGCAGTCAACTGGCAGTGATAAACACAATAATTGTATCAGCCGCGTGGCGCTGAAAGGGACCAGTACTACTTGGCGCTGGTTGTTCATCGATTGACATCTTGTTACCGCTCCTTCGCTAACAATAAACTTTAATGGAACTATAAACTCTCGACTTGGCACTGCTTCAGTTTCGTCTGGCAGTCGCGTAACTTTATATTCCGTTCGATCAAAATTGAAAATATACGTTGCGAGAAATTCACGGATGACAGTTTATGCAGAATCGGGAATAAAGTACTTTCCTCCTTGAGATAGTTCATAGGACCTCCGTTGCAACGTGATATTCTGTGCAAAGCTTGAGAAATGAAGTATTATACTGGAATACTATTATTGTGGGAAGTACTAATGTACTGAGCAAATTTATAGCCTCTATCATAAGGGGGTCAGATGATATTTATTTCCAAAATATTCTTCATTATTTAATTACTAAATTATTTTTAAAACAATGGAAATTTTTGGTCATCTACATCCGTGGAATTAAAAGAAGGATCCTTGACAAAGGTGTAAGGTAAAATAAATCACGAGGTACGTAAAGCTTAAGTAAAATCTCAGTACAAAGAATTGAAACTAACCCAGAACATATTCACCAGATTCATAAATTCAAAATTAAAAAATCATTGAGATAACAACATAATAATACCACTTGACGTTCCAATTCCTCATAGTAAAAGTAAACCGACCTCGATCCATGTTAATCCGACCATTTTATCCAAAAGTCACAATCCCCTTAACATTGTATTAATCTGCTAGAGCCCCTTTCCACCACATAAAAGAAGAAAAGAAAACCGGAAGCACCCTTGACACCTGACCCATTGAAAAGAAAGTTCGATAGAAACTTGGAGTATGGTACTCACCGGTGGTAACCACGCTGGGAAGAACCCCAGTTGCGGTGACAGCGGATGGTGTATCAGGTGCGACAGTGTCCGCGACCTGGGAGGGTCGGGGGTCGTAGGTTGTCGTGCTGTCGACGTAATCGGCGCTAAGCTCGTAGTTCGCCATCGCCTGATGGTTGTAATAGCCCGATCCGCCTGTCCCGGGGCCGGGTGAAGCGTACTCGCTACCGCCATAGGTGTACCTGATAGGAAAAAAAAAAAAATAAACAGGTCCAACATTAACAAAAAATTGCATTGAGTATCCACCGAGACACTTCTTGCGTAAAATTATTCACATAAGAAGTACGGTATTCTCTTGTTACAGGCCGGATTTTTAGTCATCGTTTATTCCCTTTCGCAATATATTGGTCCGCAATCGTCTCGCAACGAGCTCGTCACCGGACCCGAACATATATCAGGCGATACTACAGGATATACACATTATTTTCATCGCGGGAACACCTAGAGGGTAAAAATTAGTCGAGTATTTACCCTCCGTTGTAGGGGTGGTGTTGGTCCGAGCTGCTAGGTGTCTGATGCTCGAACACGCTGCTATCGGGCGCCGTCTCGGAGGCCGCTCTCATCTGTGCTCTGTGGAACCGGACTTCGTCCTCGACCTTCTCCCTCTGCTTCTTCGACATGCGTCCGAATTTAACGGCTGTAACAGGGAATCGCCAGGTTTAATCGCTCGGAATCACCAATTGAACGCACGTGTCACTAAAATTTTATTTTTAGTCGTGCAGGGGACCGGTCATATTCAGCCAAACGATTGCTACTCGGTAATAGCGGTCGAATGTCTTGTGCTCTATTGGACCCGTGAGCGATTATCTACGACTGTGATTTCCTTGGTGTATAATACTGATTACTGATTCTATTAATGATCTGTAAACAAAAATACTATTTGGAAAAAGAAGATCGATACTTTCGTGTAATTCCACCACCTCCAAGATCGCTTTGTACATCGTCAGGAGGAGCCATAGCGCCGGAGATAGGGTATCGATCCGATCCGCTTCCAAAGACTGTGAGCCTAATGAAGATCGAAGCACGAGCGTCCTCGTCTAGCACTTTTAAGTCACCCATCGACGCCCCAAAGAAATGTTCTGATTCGAAGAACGCGGAAGTTCTTTGCATCTCGGGCTTCGTCGTCGTTATCGCCGGCTCAGATGCACCCACCCATCCAAGTGACGTCACCGCGCCGCGAGCGAACACATGGGACAAGTGCGCATAGACACGGACAAACGCACATGTGCACACAGAGACCAGGCCCCCGATATGTACTACGTCACGCGAGGAGCGTTCAACAACCGCTAGAACCTGAATCGTCCGACTTCCTTTTTCTTCCGTGTTCTCCAGTTTCTCAAGTTCATTCGCGAGTTCAGACGACAACGCGACTCACTCGACGAGCCATTGTCACCGAAACTTCGGACTGGTTGAGAAAAAATGCTCTTCCATCGAGAGTGATCAGTCTTACGCCGTGTATACGAGCATTTTGTAATGTTAGATGACGATAAAGCTATTCCAAAAGTAATCTTTTAGAGGCGGTGTCTTTGACTGCTATTATGTGGAATAATATGTGTCCAATAATATGTACTAGCACAAATTGGGATGTTACTGATAATAAAAAAAATTAAATGGAAATTGATTTACGTTTTCGATTCGCTTAGTCTGCCAGTAACACTAAAGGGAATAATGTGAATGTTTCCGAATATTTATGTATTTATGACCCAACTTCAGAAAAGTGTATAATATGAGAACGTCCCTTAAATTTTAATTTGCATTCTTTTGTTGAAAAAGGAATCGAACAGTACTCCAATATGACGGCAGTTCAATATCTAGCACTTGACTTCCTAGAAGGCCACTGGCCACCCTTGACGTACTACGCGAGTAACTGGCTTGAAGTAAAACTAGGAAATAAAATCTTATCGATTTTCTAAAAAGTGCACGTTGGAATGCCAGTCCACTAATTCTATTAGAGAAGAAATTCGAAGTGACCTCTGCAGTTGATTAACCTAATATTACCGGATTCTTCGTCAAACAACCCTTTATTATAAGATGCTCAAAACCTAAATAAAGAAGGTCCCAAATAACGACTCCTTTAGTCAAGAACAGAAGGTGTCCAATTTCCTCATGATCGATTAGAGAGCGATACCTAGGTCCAGATAGATCCTCTCATAGACACCTCTCCTTAGATATGTTTGAGAACGAATATTCTTAAAAACATGCTACTATTCTCATGATACGCTAATTAGTATCTCCAACCTGGAATGGTGCACGAAGTTTCCGAAATCAGAAATCAAAATCGACCCAGACCCCATCATCCAAGGGTTAAAGCTCTCATTAAAAATGGCCAAGCAGTCTATCTCTACGAATCGCAGTTCTAATCCTACCCACTTGATTATCCCTTTTCACCACCCGAAACAAACCCCCCCCCCCTTCCAAGTTCCAAACTGCATAGCGTGCCATGCATCCCCTAAAAAGGGCCACCGGCACCGAGTCGCGCTTCCGTTCGCGGGCTACGCGATTCAATTCGGCTGCCAGAAATCTCGACCGGCTCTCACACACGCGTGACTTCACGCACACGCGGTGTCACGATGTTCCCCAATACACGGTGAAGGGGTTGGGAGACGCGGGGCGTGTTGGTTCGTCGCGCGCTAAAGGGAGACAGAACGATCCAACTTGA